GACTCACAAAATGTTAGTAAAACTTACATCTATGTTAGTATGTAATCATAATTGTTTTATAGTGCAATAAAAGTTTTATATTATTACATCCTACATTAATCCATGGGAAATGGCATTACATCGTCCCATGTATATGCAGTCCAGTCTGCTCGCAATCATGCTCAGGATACTGTTGGAGCTGGCCCGCACCCTGCTCACCAGGGAAGCACACCTTTTGCGCATTGTTGCATAGAAACAGTCTATGTGTGCATCTGCGAACATTCCTGATGCGCTACAGAAGCGGGGCAGCCCCACCAGCACCCTAAATGCATTATTATATTGAACACGGAGAGCGCTGTATGACCTCTGCGTAAACCTAGCCCACAAGCTGCATGTATAAAAGTTAGTGCAGTATGCCCTGAAGAGGGTGATCTTGACTTCAAGTGAACACCTTGCAAACCTGCGAGCTATCATGTTTGCCCTAACAGACAACGCTCTCCGCTCACGTTCAATATCTGTATCGTCCTTGAGGTCGGGGGTCAATATATGACCCAGATATTTATACACTCTGTTTAAAGGCATTCTATTAAGAAATATAGGTGGTATATTTTCAGGACTTTTACCCCCAGCCCCAAAGACCATAACTTCCGACTTTTTGCAATTGTAAATAAGTCCATGTGACTTTGCATACTCTTCACATTTCTGCACAAGTTTCCTTAGGCCACAGATCGACGCGCTCAGCAGCACCATGTCATCCGCGTAACTAATATTATTGACACAGACACCATCAATAAAACAGCCGACCCTAATGCTACTCAACTCGTCAATCAGCATTTTAAACGCCTTTATGTGTTTGGTGGTGTTTCTTACTTTCAAGGTCCATGCTCCGCAACCGTACATAAAGACAGGCCAGACGTAGCACGAACGTAGCATGCTGGTCTTTGCAATGTCAGAATTTTTTAAATAAAAAATCTAAAGATATCTCTTGGGTATGGATTGTCAAATTTTCAAAAATTATTAGTTCACACAGTTTTTTTTTAAATGTTGCCCCACACTAGGATTTTCTCCTGTGTCGTGGGTGCGTTTACAAACATATAAGTTCACATACACATGACACCCAGACCCGGAACAACATTCTGTGGATCACACAAAGAATTGTTCTGTGCGGGAATCGAACCCGCGATACGTTGCGCGGCAGCCAGTTGCCCAGCCACCGCGCCACCGTGCAGTCAAAGTTGCAGTTGCAGCTACAGAAAATATGATTTGTTTGTATGAGTTGTTCAGTCAGTTCACGGAGTCACGCACGAAGGCTTGATGAGTTTCAGCCCCCAATCAGGCCAGATTCCGATGAGGACATGACACCATAGACCACATTCATACGGTGAGGCAGATTATTCAGAAGACCGAGGAGTATAATCGACCTCTATACTTGGCGTTTGTTGACCTTTTTTCTAATTGGACAAGCCCGCCATAACCTCCCAAAACCGCTGCAAGCTAAGGACTATAGTAGATACAGACATGAATACACCGGAACACTGAAATCTGGTGCTTCCCAGGTTCAAAAAACTGTCTAAGATCTCACAATGAAATAAATTAGATGATATATTAATATCTTACGACATAAGGTGGGTTACGTTACTTTATACAAAAATTTACCTATAACATGTCCATACGTGTAATCATACTTTTTATGACTGTGTGCTGCATTACCGTTACTGCAGAACATAATATAACACGACAATGATAATCGTGTGCGAAGTGTGTCTACATCATGTCAGTGTCATAATATTATGTTTTAATGCTTTATTTACACTACACTGCTTGAAACAACTGCCGACGATTAAGGCATTGAGTAGGCATGCATATTCTTAGGCATTGAATAGGAGTCCTATCGCCACATATATCATGTCACCTTGCGGATATCCGCGCTCTATGCATGTGATCGGTTCAGATACATTTAAAGCTGTTCGAATCACCTCGACTTTTAACGAAAGAGCACATATGTAGGTACTTACTTATAGACCTATAGTTTACCGGGACACCATGGCGACGTTAACAGTTGATGCCGCTGACACTCCCTTTTGCCTAACCGAAGGCGGGAGAAGCCATTGGATGATATTCTTCCCTCAAAAAAAAAGCTTACCTGACGTCGTCGGTTTGGTTGCGCAGCCTATCTGGTGGCTGACCAGTTCGAATCCAGCATAGAATTGTCTAATCCACTAATTATTATAGCGCTACGTATTGGTTACTCACATAGTCGGCAGTCCGACCGTCGCCGTGGTGTTCAAGTGAAATATAGAGAAAGAGGTCAGAAAGGTAATTAACCTAACAAATGTAACATTAATCAATTGAACACGATGCGATCGTCTATAAAATAAAAAGAATGGTGTCCAAAAAATTCACGCGAAATGAGGTCAAACAATCAATCAGTAAGCGACCTCTAGTTTAGGTTAATTAATAACATAAAAGAAAAAGTTTGTAACTAAATTAATATTAACGAACTCATTTGTAAAATATTGTAATTAATCTTTGTAATTTGTATGCTTTGAAACACCTTGTTTCGAGGCCTTTCATTGACACGCGTAGTTTCTGACAACTCGTTGGTCATGTGGTCGGAACTCTGACTGTCTAGGAATTTCTCCAGTCAGATAAATATTTGTCGCGAATTATTGAACATTGTAAAGATTCTTAGTCAATGTTAGTCTCAGTCAAAAATTATCATTAAATAATTAGGAATCTCATGTTTTATATTCTTCAGAATGTAGGTTGTGTTTTTAATATGAAATCTGTTTGTTGGAAAATAAATCCTTAGTTTTACACGTTTCAATATTTTTATTTTGTAGTATCGTAATATGCTAAAAAAGGTCAACTGGCAGAGATATTTTTGTATTCATTTTTAACTAATTTATTAAATAAAAATAAGTAACCACACTATTTATTGACGAAGCCATATTTAGACACCAAATAAGACACTGAATAATTATATTTTTTATTTTATTTCTTAGTTTGGACTTTGGTCCGACTACCTGAGTAGTAAAAATGTAGACTTGAATTCTTGTACACTTCGAATCAATATTTATGTATAAAAATTCGTTCTTTCCTTGTTACCTAGTGGCTGTCTGAGTCACAGACAACCTATAGTCGGGTCGGTATTTTATAAGTAACTTATACTGGGGTATCTTTTATACTACCTGTTTGGGTAGCAATTTTTTTTTATGGTTTTTGTGCATTGGCGGGCACTATATACATAACCTCACGCTCGTCTTCAATGGGGATGACAGACTATGGACTATGGACCGCCAATTGCTACGATACATACATACCTCTTTCGCTTCATCAACAGTCATTTTATGCATGCTCGCCGATAACGATGGATGAAAGTTGACTTACAAAACAATTATACAGAGCGGATATGAATGGGGCCGCTAGTAGAGGGTGCCGTAGATGGACATATACTGACCAGATTTGTGATATATTAACCCGCCATTGGTGACGTATATGTCTGAGAGACCGGGTGACTCGAAAAATTCGAATAACTTTTTCGCCCGCCGTCTATTCGGGTTCCGATTTTGAGTAGCTGCCTCATTTTAAGTCCTAATCAGTCAGTGCCGCTCGTGGCTTTGCGGCGAATGCACGTTCCAGAGTTTTATTGCCAACCCGGTCCGTGAGACCGGCGTCACCAAACAAGTAAGTAAAATATTTACATGGAATTTAGCACAGAATTTAAAAAATCTTAGAATAACATCAAAACTTAGTACTATTGTTACTGTTATCTTAATTATTTTATTGAATGGTATTTGATTAATGTGATTTTTGTATAATTTTATGGATAGTATTTTTTAAAAACATAATAAATATATCCTTCCTTTATCTAGTATGAAAAATTCGTTTCAGAATGTCGCACGAAAGAGAACAGCGTCGTCTTGAGACTCTTTTACAACAAGTTTTATCCGTCGAGGAAAGCCCACAGCAATCATCGGATAGCGAAACGGAGAGCGATGTAGAAGCAGAAAATCTTGCATCAGATCGAAATACGGACAGCGAAGAGGATTTGAGTGATCGAGAATCATCAGGTAACACCTCTTCATTTTACCTTGGAAAGGACAAATTTACAAAATGGAGCAAGGAACCCCATCGTCAATCAGTCCGTACCCAAAGCAAAATTACAACGCCTTCACTTTATAGAGAATTTAGCCATGAAACTTATAGAACCTCATCTGAGGGAAAGACGTACACAACTAAACTTACCTAGACTGACGAGAGAAAGGATTTCAGAGATTTTGAAGAATGATGATGAACGCGGTTCTGTTGGTCCTTTACGTAAAGGTCGTTGCCATGAATGTGGGTGGCAAAAAAACAGAAAAACTAAATACTTTTGCCAAAAATGCGAGAAATACCTGTGCCTTGAGCATGTAGTACCTTATTGCAGAAGCTGTTTGATCTCCCAAGAAGAGTGATTTTTGAGAATGCTTTTCTTTTTTTTTTTGTTAAAAGGATATATTTTTTTGTTTAATTTCTAAGAGTATGCAATGTCATAAGACTGACAAAGGCTGATTTAAGTACAAAAAGTTAAATACTGTTACTAATATTGAAATTTTTAAAATATATGCGTAAAACCATAGTGTTTTTTAGTGTTTTAAGTACAATTGTTTAATTCGTAATAAACAAGCTGTGATTTAATTATTCTTTATGTTTTCTTGCCAAACATATGTTTATAATTAATTGATTAATTAAACCTAAACTAACTAAAAGTAGGATAACTAGTTAATGGTTTTCCAAATCATGGGTCTATGAGACCGGCGTCACCAATGTTGTAAGTGAAACTGACGTCACCAATGGCGGGTTAAAGAAGGGCCAAATTAAAAGTACCCTTATCGACGAGCATGCATGAAAAGACTAGTAAAACATGACAAAATAAGCCTCCCGCGCTGCTCATGTGTAAGAGTCCCGTTATGAATTGAAACTAGTAGACCTTTGAATTAGATTATTTTCAATGAATTGTGCTGGTTTAAAGGAAATTCTTGAAGTACGAGGTACGACAAATAATGGATGGATAGGCCATACGCTCCGAAGGAGTCCCGACCATATTTCCAAGTAAGCCCTGGATTGGAATCCCCAGGGAAAATTAAAGCTTGGCCGTCCTCGGCAAACTTGACGTCGTACTGTGATAGCAGAAGCGGCGAGCATCGGAATGACGTGGAGCGAGGTGAAGCGAGAAGCTCAAGATCAATCGAGATGGAGAACCTCTGTGGACGCTCTCTGCCGCATCTAGGGGACTAAAGACTATAAGATACGAGAAATAATGAAATTGTTATGCGTGTAAGTAAAATATAAAATATAAAATATATAAGGCTTATACTGGTTTTAACACATATTCACCTTTATTAAGCAATTTGGTAATGTAATGAAGTAGGTGTACCAATTTAAAATTACGTTTCTTGTCTATTTTAATAAAATATTTTTGCATAGTTGACATATTTAAATGCCAGTTCCTTGTAAGCATAATAATTTGGTTTTATTATATTTTCAAAACTTAAATTAGATTTTTTAGTTTTCTACATTTACCTACAGAATAACTGATTGTTAATCTTGATTTTGAATAGACACTTGTCTTCTTGTATAGTTTTTCAAAAAATTAATTTAATTTGTCTTTCTTGTCAAAATTTTTGACAATAACGAAGAAACAGAAATACACATGTATAGTTCGTAATTGGACATTCCTAATTTTTTTTAATCAAGATTCCTTTATTTATATTTACAAACCGGTTTTCATCAATAAATCATTTATACCTCTATACGGCTAATATTTTTTGTATTTCATTCCTAGCTTTGAT